AAAATAAAATAAAATAAAATAAAATAAAATAAAATAAAATAAAATAAAATAAAATTTGGAGACATTTTCATTAGAATGGGTAGGCAGAAACAGAATTAAGGATGAATCCCTATCAAAAACTGGAGGTAGCATTTACAGGCCACTGTGTTTATCACACTTCTCTAGTGGGAAAAGGGTAGGAAAAAAATTACAATAAGTGGGAAAAGTAGGAGTATATTATTATGGAAAAATCCAGTTAGAAAGGAAGAGAATCATGAGGATAATTAACCGATTCAGATTTTTTTTTAATGTTTTATTTATTTCTAGGAGAGAGAGAGACAGCGTGAGCAGGGGAGGGTCAGAGAGAGAGGGAGTCACAGACTCTGAAACAGGCTCCAGGCTCCGATCTGGCAGTCAGCACAGAGCCCGACGCGGGGCTCGAACCCACGAACCGCGAGATCACGACCTAAGCGAAAGTCGGACGCTTAACCGACTAAGCCACCCCGGTGCCCCTAACCGATTCAGATCTTAAAGGAAAAGGCGAAAAGTTACGGTGAGTTTTTGTTAAGAAAAAGCACAGTTCTAGTTATACTCCTATGAACAAAAGGAACTGGGCCAAAGGTTCTCAGACATCTCGACCATGAGAAGTAAGCTTAATGGGGGTAACATATCATCTTAAGAGTTAATGTGACTCTGGATTTCCCACTGGGCAACAATCCAGTGATTCTATCAGATCCAGCAAATCAGGTACTGTGCTCTCTAGTCACCCGGTTCCTTGATAATCAGGAATCTCAGTTCCTGGAAAATGGAAGGGAAACGTCCTTGTAATAAACTTCTTCATAAATTCCTAAATCAGGCCTAAAAGTAAACTCAACTCACCAGTCAAGATGAAAAATCCATTCAGTTATGTGGTCATAACTGAACACAGTCAATGCTGAAATATAAACAATCTCTGTTTTGTTGTTTCTAATCTCCTTGCTGTGGGCTGTGCCTGACACATAGTAGGGACTCACTGATTTCAACGATTCTACTATTTTTCATCCTGACAGCTCTGAAATTGAGATGCATGTCAAATTTGATGGCACATTATAGTCTGATTTTCCTTCAATGGTACATAAGACAATGGTGTGAATTACAATGAACGGCATCTTATATTTGATGAAATATCGGACTTAGTGAATGAGTCAACGACTGAAAGATCAAATTTTGATTGGAGGTTACCTGAATAAGAATGCTGTGTGCCCTCACTGGAAATGGATGATGTTCCTCCAATAGCAGTGATCCCTTCCCTCTTGTTAATTATTTTGCGGAATGTCTTACTGATGTCTTTGCTTTTTAACTCTTGCATCAGCTGGAACAGAATAGAAGTAAAATTGAACTTCAATTCAATCATCATAAAAAGCCTTGCAGCATGAAGGCAGTTATTTAGCTTCTTTATTTATTTGGAATGACATCAAAATAAATCCTCATCAGGGATTCTCACCCTTAATGCTTGTGTACAAAGACAGCTCTCCTGTCATTTTACCCATAACACAAACTGTACAAATATTTGCACTTCAAAGATTCTTCACTAGAAGAAACTTTGTTGTTATTAAGCTTAAATTGAACACCTTGAAATTATTCTACACTTGCCATGATCTTTTTTATTGAAAACTAAAGAATAACTACATGATAAAGATTTTTAAATGCTTTAATGAAGATATTTGCCTGTGTGAACATTGTAAATGTATATATGTTAAAATAAATAAGTCAGATGTCATAGGAAATAATGTAGGCTTGAACAAAAACCCTCTCTCAATCACTCTTGTGACTGGCCAGACCAAATTTATTTTATTTTTTTATGTTTTATTTATTTTTGAGTGAGAGAGAGCAAGTACGTGAGCAGGTGAGGCACGGAAAGAGAGGGAGACACAGAACCCAAAGACAGGCTCCAGGCTCTGCACTAGCTATCAGTACAGAGCAGGCCTGATGCAGGGCTCGAACCCACAAACCATCATATCATGACCTGAGCCAAAGTCAGACGCTTACCAACTGAGCCATCCAGGGGCCCCTGGCCAGACTGAATATAATCCATACTCTAAGCAGCAGCCGGTGTGAAGGGTTTTTTTTTTTTTAATTTTTAAATTTAAAAAAAAGTTTATTTGGGGTGGAAGAGGGAAGGAGTGGGGGGAAGGGGCAGAGAGAGAGAATCCCAAGCAGGCTCTGTCCCAACAGCATGGAGCCTGACGCAGGGCTCTATCTTATGAACTGTGAGATTATGACCTGAGCTGAGATCAAGAGACGGATGTTTAACTGATTGAGCCATCCAGGTGATCCCAGAGTGAGTTTTTAAAAATTCTCACTTGATCATGTCACTTCACACTCTCTTCCTCCCACATCACTGACTTCCTATTGTACTTATGATAGAAATGAAAATCCTACAAGATCCTGTATGACCTGACCCCAACTTGCTTCTCTACCTGCATTCCTTACCCTCACCATCTCCCTCCACCCACACTCAACTTGTTTCCAAGTGCTTGAGAGAATCTGCCATCTCTGAAGCCACAGAGTCTGTACATAGGCTGTCACTTCTGCCTGTCTTGCACATCATTCATTTTTCCTACTCAACTCTTTTATTTGTTTAGCATCTCTCTTCAGATTTCAGCTCAGTCTTCATAGTTTCCAGGACACATTCTCTGCATCCCTGGGATCTCTAGCCTCACCACCAAGTTCAGTTCCTTCTATTAACTCTCAAGGGACCCATACTGCTCTACCGTAGCAATTATCATAGATCTCTCTTAGCCATTTGTATGATTCTGTCTTCCCCACATCTAAAGTCCCTGGAAGCAGGGATCATCTCTCTTTTTGTTCTTTACATTATTCACAGGTTGCCTAGCAGAACCTGGCAAGAAAGGAGCTCAGGGGTGTCTGGGTGGCAGTTGAGCATCTGACTTCGGCTCAGGTCATGATCTCACAGTTTGTGGGTTCGAGCCCCATGTCGGGCTCTGTGCTGACAGCTAGCTCACAGCCTGGAGCCTGCTTCTGATTCTGTCTCCCTCTCTCTCTTTCCCTCTCCTGCTCACGCTGTATCTCTCTCTCTCTCTGTCAGAAATAAATAAAACATAAAAAAAGAAAGGAGTTCAAATCTTTGCTTAATGAATAAAGAATGCAAAACCAGACAGCTCACATTTCATAAATATTTAATCAATTATATTAATGGTTATATTTTCATATGAAAACTATAGTCATGGTGGTGTTAGTGGAAGGGCGCGGCAGCTCACTCAACTGACCACTGTGAGTGGCAGCGTAGCCAAGTCATCTCTCTTGGCATGAAACTTTTGAGATACCAGATATTCAATATTCAGTTCTACAATCTATTTTTCTTTTGTTGGTTGAGTCATGTATTATTTTTCATCTTGTTCAGTTCCCTGCGCCTTGAGGTACTTTAATAATGACACCATGTTATCATAGCTAGCATCAGAATTTACGTGGTGGCATTGCTGAAACTGAAGATATCACTTAGCACAAGGAAATAACTAGTTCCCAGAAGGTATAGTTTCCATACCTTGGCTATTTCAGTCACACAAAAAACATTTCATTTCTCAAGACCAAGTACTGAGATATTAAAACATTCTGCACACATATAGTCGATAAGCACTGAACTCAACTGTAGTTTTACTAGCACATGAGCTATTTTTTTCTTTTTAAATATGGAACGCTTCATGAATTTGCATGTCATCCTTGTGCAGGGGCCATGCTAATCTTCTCTGTATCGTTCCAATTTTAGTATATGTGCTGCCGAAGCGAGCACGCACATGAGCTATTACTATTGAAACCTGATATCCAACAACCTGAGAATGATTTTTTTCCCTTTGTTTTATGAATTATTTGTGGACTCTGTTGTTGTTATCATCCTAATTATCATTTTAAAGCAGTGCTTTTTCTGGTCTCTGAAGCCAGATTTAACCAGAGAGCAATGACATTACTAGAACTCTGCTTGAAGCAAAAAACAGAAGATTGGATTACTTACTGACACAAACTCTTCAAAACTGATTTTGCCATCTTTGTTGTTGTCAGCCACTGCTAGAATCTTCTCCACAATTTCACGCACCTTGTAGCCAGGCAGAGGAAGGCTTGCTTCCTTAAAAAGGTCCTGAAGTTCATAGTCACTAACATATCCACTGTTGTCAATATCTGTAAAGATAAATTATGAACTGTCAAATCCCATTTGCATTATTTATTCAAGGTGTGCACCCAGAAGATCTCATGGAAGATTCACAGGCAGGTAGAACCTTTCAGGTTTGTCTCACAAGTGGCAGTAACCTTTTCTCCTGCATCTGAACTGTACCTAGGAGTCTATACCCTATCAAAAAATTCATAGTAAATGGACTTTATCCCCATAGATTCAGGACTACCATGCGTATTTTAAGTGCACAGTTTGAACATTGCTCTGACAAATGAAAAACTCAGGTTTAGCAGAACCTGATTTTAACTTCACAGAATTTACAAATGAATCTGCAGGACTCACATTCTCTATAAAATATGGGCACATGTTAAGTACACATAAGGTATCTCTGTTCTACATTTCACTTGGTGGCACTTATGTTTCATTTGTCAATAATTCATTGCTTCTTCATTATGTATTTATGATACCATTATGTAGGCTGAATCATGTTTGATGGCGTTTTGACATCAGGTGTTCAAGAAATAATTTCACACCTATATTTGGACTTTTGGAAATGGGTTTCCAGGTATTTTCACTTTATTGCTGAGATGTCCTTCCCTGGGTTTTCCCTAGAGACTAGATATCACTTCTTGACACAGGCAACACAAAAACACTTCTGCCGAGAGTTGGCAACAGGGCTTTGGACTGTTTGGTTAGTTGCCTGGATCTACCTTGTCATATAGGCTTTCTTTGCTCATCTGGTAATAGTTGCTTTGTTTCCTGTATTTCACTTTTTCCCATCAGGATAAGAGGTGTCCTCACCAAAACTCAATTAATTATAAAGATAGAAACTTTTATTTTAGGAATTAATACTGTTCAGAACAAGTGGAAAGTTTCTAAACTAGAATCTACCAATAACCAAAATATTGCTATAATCTCAAAAGCCAGCTAATAAGCTAAATTTCTGGATATTGCAATAATGATAACACTTTCTTTGAACTCAGAGCAAAATGTCACTATTTAGTACAAGTTCAGAATCATTTCCTGTATTTTGAAATAGACAAATGTTGTTCATAGCAACATTATTTATAAGAGCAAAAAGGTAGGAACAACTCAGGTGTCCTTCAACAGATGAAAGGATAAACAAAATGTGGTACAGACATAAAATAGAATGTTATTCAGGATGGGGAGCTAGTATTTAATGGTTAGAGAGTTTCAGTTTGGGAAAATGAAAGAGTTCTAGAGATAGAGATGGTGGTATGGTTGCATAACAAAATGAATGTACTTAATGCCACTGAACTAGATACTTAAAAATTCTTAAAATAGCAAATTTTGTCTATTTTACCATAACTTACAAAGGAAAAAAAAGAAAGAAGACAAATATTTTAACCTCTCACGTCTCCCTAAAGACCCCCAAAATATCCCACCTGGTAAGGTTGGATAAGCATGACCCTCTGCCTCTGAGAAAGGTTGTTGGGTACAAATTATCAGAGGAAGTACTAGGTTTTTAAGGAGCAATTTATCTCATCAATAAAGCTAATACACATTATGCTAGTGTTAGCACTGCCCTCGCACAGAGCAAATTATCTGGCTGTCAGATTTGTTCCATCAGTGAATTATTTATTCAAAATATCATTAAATAAATATTGCAGGATTATATGTCCATGAGTCATAAAGAGCAAAGTTCATGTACTAAACAAAGAAAATAGATTACTAATTCATTCATTTCACTAAGACCTAGGCAGCACTTTTATTCAAGCTACCAAACTGCACTTATAAAATAACGGCAAAAGCAAACTAGGGATAGATTTTTATTACTTCCTCTGTTTCAATGCTCAAAATGAGCAGAACATTCTGACAATTGCCCAATTTTTGTCTTGAAAAGACTCTGGGCACTGCATTTAACACTTTATAAAAATTTATTATTAAAAGTAATCTTTTAGAGATCATACGATATTCATGCAATGCTCTAATAACAAATATACTGTCCTCAAAAAAAAAAAAAAAAAAAAGACCAAGATTAAGGCATTCACTATGAGCCTAATTCAGCCACCGTGAAGACTGTATTCAGAAGGTTTGAGTTACCCTGGGGATGGCTGTGCAGGGAGAAGTGGAAGGGCCCAGAGATTTGTATAACTCACTTTGCTTCATAGCAATGATGTGTAAGTTGTGAGCTTCCTGACAGCTTTACTTTTTTGTTTTTCTGGAGAGCTTTCTTTTTTAAACTTAAATCTTTCTTTTCTCTTAGTATTGGTCTCTAAAATTATGTACTGCATCTCATCTACATGAATTTTAGTCATGATTCACTAGGTTTATGAGAAATCTAGGCACAAGATCAACTGTGATCATGATATGTCCTCCCTAGTCTACCATCTGACTGTTTCTCACAGACTGCTCTTTTTTTAAAATGTTTATTTATTTTTTGAGAGAGCGAAAGAGCACAAGTGGGAGAAGGGCAGAGAGAGAGAGAGAAACACAGAATCAGAATCTGAGCTGTCAGCACAGAGCCCAACACGGGGCTTGAACTCATGGACAGCGAGATCATGACCTGAGCCGAAGTCAGATGCTTAACTGACCGAGCCACCCAGGCGCCCCACAGTCTGCTCCTCTGTACCAGAGAAGGAGCCTACTGTGGGAGGGGCAGGACTGGTGGTGTCACCATCCCAAGGTTCTTTCACTGTGCTTGCCTTTCACTTGCATGCATTTGCAGACGAGAGCAAAAGATGATATTTTTTCTTCTTGTTTGCCACAGGCTTCGTGGGAGCAAAGTACAGAAGTGACATCCAAATGAACAGGAGAGAATTTTTTTGGAAGAAAAATACAAAGCCATCAAATGATAATGTCACAAAGACAAAACATTGAATGGCTTTAAAAAGTGAAAGAAGAAAAAATAAGATACACAGCCTTTAAAAACTACCGCAAGATTCTTTAAAATTATGCCTCAGGGAGAAGAAAAATAAAGACATACGGCCTTTAAAAACAATATTCAGATTTTAAAATATTCCGTGTGAAGTCAGAAGGTGTTACTATTAGCGACAAACGTGAAGGCCAGAGTTCAATTTATAAACGAGGAAGTGTTTCTATATTTTCTCTCTGTAATGAGGATATCATGTTAAGCGTATTCAGTTACACTGTCATTCATTAACCTGGATTACTCGCAGCAAAGAAATTATCAAAGAATTCAAAGTCCAATTCTCTTAGAAATTCAAGCCAGTCTTAATTTATCTTTTAGAAAGAAAGAATCCAGTGAAACCTAGATGGGAGTTGGAGGGAAGAAACAGGATAAAGCTAGGGGTAAGTGGGTGGTAGTAAAACCAATAGAAGGTATTATTCCATTCCTGGAAGTCTGACATCAAGCAGAATAAGAATGTCGTATTTAGTTTTTCTCAAGCATACCTATTTTATTAAATGCTTCTTGTAGCTCTTCCAGCTCTTCCCGAGAAATGGTAGTGGTACTGTTTTCCATCTTCGGAGAAAGGACTACCTTCAGGTCTTTATAGCTAGAAAAAGCAATGTTATAAAAAAGAACATTAGCCCTTTGGAAACACTCATCTAAGCAACACAGAGTACAGAGGCAGCAAAATCTCTAGAAGGCATCACCTGAGAGGTCTGGCTGATAGGGAACAAACAGGAACAGATCCCCACACTACATCCCAGCATAGGTGGGCTAGACAATAACAGAGTCCACAGAGGGAAGAATGCCTGTCTTTTACCCCTTGCCCTTATGCAGGGCATAGACATTTCTCATAGCCTGTACAATTTTCATTTACATTTTACCCCACTCTTTCAGTAAAATAAACATTTCAAGTTTGAGAGAAATGCATTTATAAATGTTAAGAAAGTAGCCAGGAGGGGCGCCTAGGTGGCTCAGTCGGTTAAGCGTCCAACTTTGGCTCAGGTCACCATCTCATGGTTCGTGGGGTCAAGCCCCGCATCGGTCTCTGTGCTGACAGCTAGCTCAGAGCCTGGAGCCTGCTTCAGATTATGTATCTCCCTCTCTCTGGCCCTCTCCTGCTCACATTCTCTCTCTCTCTCAGAAATAAATAAAACATTTAAAAAAAGAAAGTAGTCTGGAAGTAAAATTTTAAGACACAAATAATGTCCACAAAAAGAATAAAGCACATAATTTTTTAAATAACCCATTCATTAAAATTTTTCACTGATCAACTAAAAGTCATATTGAATTGTGTGAAGCCCTCGAAGAGTGTTATGGCTCATTTGTCGTTTGTATACCAACTTGATTAGGAATTTGGGGTGTTCCTCCAAAATGACAGATTTCTGTATCTTATACTTATGTCTGATTCTAATTCAAGTATAATTAAATCGTTGGGTTTTTAAAAATATACTACTGCCCACTATTCTACTCTGTTTAGGAAAAAGAGTTTTAGTTACTCTATTAACTAGTAACCCAGTATTTCTTTTTCTTACTTGTCCCATGCTTAGATGATTAATGTGCCATATAAGGTCCTAAATATGATGTGCTCATTCTCATTTAATCCTCACCGTTCCATGAAATAAGTGGTGTCCTCATTTTAGTAATTGAGAAAGGGATGCTTCATGCGATTGAGTAACTTTTTCAAGGTGTCAAAGTGTGTACTCATACTCTCATCATTAAGCTGTGGTCAAACCAAGCTCTGTTTCTTTACTGTCTCTAGGTCTGCTCTGCAGTCTCCCAAATATAATGTGATATCAAGCCATGTAAACATATAGATATGTATTTGAATAATAATTTATGTAATATTTAACATATGTAATATATAAAAAATATATACTTGTAAAATAAAATTTTGTATTTTAAAAGAAAACTGTCTTTGTAAAATTCTCTGTAAAGTTTTGGAGGAAAAATTCTAGCTGGATCATATCATATTTATCAGACACATAATTTGTCAGTCCTGAAACACTCTAGAAGGCAGTTACTAGAATTCACTTTGCAATTTTAGAAATGAGGAACACAGCATTTAACTAGTTTCAACACCTGGCATTGAAGAATTCCTAGCTGGATGCCTGAGACAGCTCCAAAGAGCACAGTATTTCAGAGTCATCCTGAAAGATGCAGCCCAGACGCAGCCAGGATCACTGACCAGGGACCCACCAACAGGGCAGGTAATGTTGAACTCTGTAGACAGACGTTATCTTCCCATCGATTTTGTTATGTGCCATATATTTCTTCAATAATTCCAACACTGCTCTCCTTCTCTACTTTGTATTTTTAGCCCATATAATTTAAAAAACTTTCTTTCACCAATTAGAGTCTTTTCTCCTCCTCTCCTAATCCCCAAGTGTACCCTGACACAGCAAAGTATATATTTAGAAAGTTAAGGAAGTATATTCTAAAAATGAACTTCTCAGTTTAGATGAAATTGGATCTGATCTCTTATCTTTCCTAAAATTTCTAACTTCTGTGAACCTTTAAAAGCTTTACCAAAATTGGGACACCTGGCTCAGGCAGTTGAGTATCCGACTCTGGCTCAGGTCATGATCTTGCGGTTCATTAGTTCAAGCCCCACCTACATCAGGCTCTGTGCTGACAGCTCAGAGCCTGGAGCCTGCTTCAGATTCTGTGTCTCCCTCTCTTTCTCTGCCCCAATCCCCTCAAAAATAAATAAACATTAAAAAATTAAAAAAGAACTTTACCAAAATTAGTCTAAGCAGCCATTTATGATTTACAGGATCTAAAACCCCAGTATCCAGAAGAGTTTCAGAGAAAAGGGGTTAGGAACAGCTCTAAAGACCAACAAGATTCTTCTGTCTTTCTGCCAACTGTACAGCTCCCAACTGTGAGGAACTAAACCTGTATTTCACTCGCACCTTTTGGCTTCCAGGCTATTCTATTTTCTCTCCTCCCCCTGTGGCCCTAGCGCTGGTCACCTGAGATCCTGAGTTCCTGAGGTAGCCATTGACACAGAGGAGGCAGCCTGCCACTTTATCCTCCAAAATTCCCTTTTCCCTTACTTCCCCTTTCTCTAGTAATATAAAAAATAATGGCAAATATTTACTGAGGGCTTTCAATGGGCCTGGAACTATGCTAACCTCATACAAGAAGGGCTCACTGTGTATTGATCTGTTCTTCTATTAAGGGAAGAAGTGTCCTCCCTTAAATGCAAATTAGAGGGCTGAACAGATTACCTAAGGAAGGTTAAAGAGAGAGAGAGAGAGAGAGAGAGAGAGAGATTCAATATCAAATCTGTTTCTAATGCCTCCAAACCCTTAAATTCTACATGTACTTCAATTAACATCCCTATTCTTTCACTGCAAGTATCACAGGTAGCTTTAAAGAAAAGAATGATGACCACTTCAGGCCATACTTGGCCATACTTAAGTGTAGACACTTAAGTATGAGTGATTGATAAACCCTTACAGTGCTCATCAGATTTATATTTTAAGGGCACAACTTTTAAGGATATGAGGGAAGTTTTCTAAAAGTTTATTTATTTTGAGAGTGAGAGCACGTACACAGCAGAGCAGGGGCAGAGAGAGAGAGGGAGAGAGAGAATCCCAAGCAGGCTGTGCACCGATAGTAAGGAGCCCAACACGGAGCTTGAACTCACAAACTGAAAGATCCTGACCTGAGCTGAAACCAAGAGTAGGATGCTTAACTGACCAAGTGGCCCAGGTGCCCCTTAAGGGCCAATTTATATTTTAAGGGCAAATGCCAGTTTTCTTTAGAGTAACAGATGAATACATTATTATAATATTGATACATCAGCAAAATAAATGAACCACACCCGTTTCTTAAAAACACAGTAACTGGAAAAAGCAAAGTGCTAAAAGATACATATGGTATATGTACCAATTATTGTGAGTTATAAAAACATAAAATACTGTTTATGTTGCCAAACATATGTAGTAAAACTTAAAAACACATGGGAATGATGAGAAAATTCAGAATAGTGGTTGTTAATGGCGAAGTAGGAAAGGGCCACAGCTGGGGGCTGGTGCTGGATCTATTACATTTTTTTAAGAGAAATTTGAAGCAATTATGGCAAAATTTAACATCTGTTCAATCTGAGCAGTAAGTATATGGATACTGGGTATATTGTTTCTGAACCTATTTTAAGAATATTTTTTTGTTTTAGGGGCACCTGGGTGGCTCAGTCGGTTAAGCGTCTCACTTCGGCTCAGGTCATGATCTCACGATTCATGGGTTCAAGCCCCACACTGGGTTCTGTGCTGGCAGCTCAGAACCTGGAGTCTGTTACAGATTCTGTGTCTCCCTCTCTCTCTGCCCCTCCCCTGCTCATGCTCTGTCTCTCTCTCTCTCTCTCTCTCTCTCTCTCAAAAATAAATTTAAAAAACTATTAAATTTTTTAAAGAGTATTTTTTGTTTTAAATAATTCACAACATAATTTTTAAACTTTTAAATTCAGAGAGTAAAAAAATAGTAGGTAAATAAAATAATAAAGGTAACACAAGAATATGTTGTGAACAGGAGAAAATTTCCCAAAGTCCCTCAGGACATGGGGAAACATTTTGTAAGTACTTCAGTCTTGAACAGTCAAAACAGTTAATATTGTTGTAGAAGAATCATTTATTGAAATATCAAATTGTGTTTCTTCTCCAACCCCCTTGCCCCAGTCATACCTCTCAACTAAAGTAGTGACCACCTCTTGCCAGGCATAATGAAAGGGGCAGCACAGAAAGCAAACCCAGCCTGGAATCTGCGGTTCCGAGTCCTCGGGTAAAAGCACAAACCTCCTCAGAGTTTACTGGGAGTTCTGGGAATGGGGCAGCAGGAAGAGGAGATCCCTGAGAAGCCACTAGATGAGGAAGACAGGGAGAGGGAGAAATTCTCCCCACGGGCAAAGAGGGAAATCTGTGGATGCCGGCAAGGAAGACTGCAGCCACAGAGGTGGCAGAGACAGGGACAGCCGAAGTGCAGGAGAATCTCTGCTGAAGGGAGGCACAGAGTGGGCAATGGGCATTTCCCAGGCAGACACTGGGGACTGATGAACCCAGGACAGAAGAGCTTCCCATGAGCCTCTGCTCTGTTTAAGACCCCAGGACGAGAAGCTGAGGGGCAGATTCCAGGTGCCTGAGAAGGATGTGACTACTCAGGCAGGATGAGGCATCTCAGTCAAAATAAATTTGCTTTAAAGAACATACATAAATGTGATATTTCTTTCATACCTGACTTTTATGGAAAAAGCTTGTCCTTTTCTATGGGGAAAAAAAGCCTCCAATTCTCTGGAGAATTGCCTAGAATCAGAGGTTCTGGAACACTGCAGTATCTCGGGGGGGGGGCAATACTACGGCATCCTATATCCTCCCCCTCTTCTTCATAAACTTCTCTTATCTTCCATCTCAACACTCCTCTTTTCTTACTATGTTCTATTTTCAGCTCCCCATTACAAGTTTAAAGATCACAAGGTCACTAGAATAAATCATTATGTGAAAAAAATAAACAGTGAACAAATATGAATTAATTGAAGCATTTCCTTTTTAGTGTAAAGGAAACCTGGAAAATAGTTCACCTCTCTGTATTTCCAGCTATCTTTTTTTC